CCAGAGGGCTGACCTTTGGAGAAATCAAACAACAGCAACAACAAATCATTCAAGGTAATGACAAATTGTTTCATACCAGCCAAAATGTATTATATATTTTGATGAGTTTTCACCTTGTTGTTTATCGTCTGTAAAGAAGTGTGTCGCCTCCAGAGCAGATTCTGCCTCCTCAGGACACAGAGCTTAAACACAAACAAACAAATACATAAACAAATAAAAAGACAGAGACCAATAAACAATCACATAAATGATTTGGTGTCAAGGTCACATGTCAGGTGGGGGTCCATGTGTTACCTGGTGGGAGATGGAGCTTGTACAACAGTTTAAGTTTTTCCATCATGTCTCCATGAGACATCCCACCTGTAGAAACAGAGAGAACACATTAACTAAGAGAACCAGCTGAAACCACAACCATGTTCTTTCGTGTTTTACAAAGCAGGGTTTATGTTTATCCAGGTAACTTCGGATTTAATTCAAAGTTTTCAATCCTACCAACAACTCGGCCTCTGTCACATGAACACGCTCATAGCTGGATAAGAAAACCTTTTAAGTTACAAGGACAATCAGGATGATCTTAGGATCTAGACCTGTACTACAAAACAGGATTTGTGGATATCAGGGTAACGTTTAAATTTCCATCCTACAAACAGGGTTTTGCACCATTTTTAGAGTCAAATTTAATAATTTTTAAAACCTTTTTAGGGACTTAAGAAACTACTATTAGCTTAATTTAAATTTTTGTATGTTGCTTCTTTACTATTGTACATTGTATATATGTGTGTGTGTGTGTGTGTCTATATATAGACACACACACACACATACATACATCTGTCCCCTCTGGAATTGCACCAATGAGATGAAATATCCATCCCTGGTAAGAGACATCGGAACCAGAACTCAGCTTTACAGGAAGTTGACTCACTGAGTCCAGTGACGAACTCTTTGAAGTTGACCAGTCCGTCCCGGTTCTGGTCCAGGAGTCTGAAGAGGCGGGCTGACAGAGAGGGGGTGTGGTCTCCACAGACCCAGGGGGTGAGTGCAGAGAACAGCTGAGTGAACTGAGCCAGGTCGATACGATACTGCTCCAGGTACGGAAGACTGGGGTCATGACGCTCGGCCGCAGAACTGCTGGAGCCCCAGTAACAACTCGTCATGTGTTTGGACTGAAGAGGGCAACAAAAACAAATCAACACAACAAACAAAACAAATAAATGAAACAAATAAACAAAAACTAATCAACAAAAATCAGTGGATCCTAATTGAGGACTATGATCACAACAAGACTTCTTGATACACAACATGTCTCCTCATCTTCTATCATCAGTGACTCCTCAGTTCATGTGTCTGCTCCTTCATCTCTATCAGACATGTCCTCATGTACAAATACTTTAAACATGAAGTTACAAACTGTTTCTTCTAATGTAGAGAATCTGTTGTTGTGTTGATGTCTTCAGTTCATCAGCATCTATTGTCCTCGTGTCCTGGAGAAGGATCCTCACATGTGACTCTGAGCTTCAGTTACTGCTCAGAAAGTTTCTTTGGTAGTTTGACTCTTGTTGAGTTAAGAACAGCGGACGTTGCTGCTCCTTGTTAACATCTATGAGACAAACTGTGGTTTGTGAATATAAGCTGTACAAATAAAATGTGATTGAATGAAAACAAGTCAACACGACAAATAAATACAAATATAAACAAAGAAAGAAAAACTAACACAAACACAAACAGAGGGGTATTCCATTAAAGTGTCTGAACTACTCCTGGGGTCTGTACTACGAAGCAGGTTTAGCGGTTATAGGGGTAACTTCAGGTTGTTTTCAGTCCCACGAAGCTCATTCACTTCTTCTCGCTGTAAATCACCATGGTAACTTATGCTGAACGGTAAACCTGGAGGGTATTCCATCAAAGTAGCCAAACTAATCCTGGTTTAAGTGAAAAGGTCCAGCTTCAACTTCCACTCCAGGCTTAAGCTGTTCCACTAACACAATTAATTTGGGTCTAATCAAGGCTTATTCTATCCAGGCTCTAAAAAGCCAGCCTTTAATAAATAAGACACTTCAAATCACTTTAACCCTGATGTCCTCACTGTGCGCGTCAGTTACGTCTCGTGTTGTGTACAACACAGATTAAACATATGACTCATACACTACAGAATCAAAACCACACAAAGTAAACGTCAGTCCTGTACGAGTCCTAATAACTTGATCAATGATGGTGTTTAATGTTACAGTGTAAAGTGAGCGCAGGTCAGAGGAGGAAACAGACTCCGACAAGAGACTGACACAGACCGGACCTTTAATGAGCATGTTAGAATTATTCAGCATCCACGTCAAGATGCTTCTATGAAGAAATGTTGACAGCTCTGTGCTCAGCTCAGTCTCTGTTATTGCAGCCCCGGCTTCATTCTTTACACATCGTTACTCTGGAGGACACACTTAATTTAAGTGGAGATTAAGAACATTTATGCACACATGTTAGTGAATGATGCCCAACATCTCTGAAAGACTAAAACCTGTGTTGTGTTTTTCTGCAGCAGATCGGCAGATGATCATTGGGCTCAAGAATTCAAACTCATATTTACCAAGAAATGAAACATGTCGTAATCAACGAGGCGGAGACATCAGGACAAAAAATTCCTGACTGAATGTGAGAGTTTATACAACAGATGAGGATTCTACAAGCACGGGTGAAAGAAGTAATGAGGCGGGAGTGAAGCCACAGACAGAGAAGAGAAGATTCTCAGCACTGATCTCACAGACTCAGCTAAATGACAGGATTCGTTTTAGAAGCTGCAGAATTGATTTCAAACTGTTTCACATGTGCTGTTAATCATTCTCCTCAGACTGTGGATATGAAGCTGTATCATATCAGATATGTTTGAAATCACTACATTTACTGTGAATGAGTCTGATGAAGTTTGTGTGAAGCGCCCGACCCAATAAACTTTATTCTATCACATCCTCAGTTCAGGAGGCAGACTCCCGCTCTACATTTAAGAGTCGGCTTTAAACCTTCCTTAATGATAAAGCTTATAGTTAGAGCTGGTCCAGACTCGTCTTAGATCAGCTCTGGGTTCTGCTGCTGTAGCTTTAGAATGTGGAGGAACACATGACATATGGAGCTTCTCTCAGCTCCTCCTCTCTCCTTATCACATCAAATAAATGAATGTCTCATCAATACATGTTATTGACTTGACTTCTTCCCCGGAGTCCCTGTGCCTTATTGTTAACAGATCCAGGGCCGCGACTGCAGCCACATCATGGATCATGATGGTGGATCGCGAATCAGAGATCATGATCATAATGGCGGATCCTGTATCGTGCTGGCTTCTGATCGTAGTGGTGGACCATGATTAAGGCGGCAGCTGAGGTGGATCCTGATGGCAGCAGTGGATCATGATGATGGATTCTAATGGTGGATCCTGAACGTGGACTATGATCACAACAAGACTGCTTGATAAACAATATGTCTCCTCAGATACTCGACCATTACTGACAATAACTCCTCACTTCATTCACCTTCCATCCAGCTTCAAACTGTTTACTCTAACCAGTGCTGTAACTACTATTTCTCTGATGTTCTCAGTTCACATCTACTGGACTTGTGTCCGTCCTGGGAGACGGATCCTCACGTGTCTCTCTGAGGTTTCTACGTTCTTTTTTGGAAGTTTTCCCTGACTCTTGTTGAGTTAAGAACAGATGATGTCACAGCTTGTTAAAGCCTATGAGACAAATACTGATTTGTGAATATGGGCTATACAAATAAAATGTGATTGATTGATTGACATCCCAACAATCTGAACACAAAAACAACATAAAGTACAGATACTTTATAGTATTAAATTGCATCTAATGAAATGTGAACAGTGTGTTTTAAATATAGGTAAATCTGTAAATATTTACCTTTGAGCCATGAAAAATATGACACAGCCACTAGAGAGCGACATCCAGCTGAGCCCTTACAGCTGTAGAGGAGCTCGAATATATAGGGACATCTGTGATGGGGGGGCTCTATGTCCAAGGGTTTGACTTGTTTAACTCAACAGGTTTGAGTCTGTCACTGTAATGATCCTCACTAGTCCTTTATATCTCACTGAGACACGATATTACTGCAGAGCCTCATTGCAACGTGCTGACGTTATTCATGATGTGTGAGAAGATTTAAAATATTTTCATCTTTACCAACTACAGTTGTGTATTTGCAGGAAGATAGGCAGTTTGACTGACAGCTCCAGTAATACAGGAAGAAAGAGTTCAGACCAAATCATGTTTCACACACATCTTAGAATTTAACTTGACATTTTACTGGAGACAAGTGAATCACTTGACTTTTCAAGGCTTGAAAATAATAACTAATAAACAGTTCAACAAAACTTTGACTTCCATGAGCTAAAACTTAAAATTATTTGAGTGACAAAAACTTTTTCCACCTGTTTGACTTTCTTTGAGACACAGCTAAACATAGCTAGATCATAATCCTGGTACAAAGCAGGTTAGCTCAGAAGTATAAATTAAAATAGTGACTGAGCAGGAATTAATTTCATGGAACTGAAGACTCACTTTAATAAGCCAGACTTATCAAAGTAAACCGGGATTAACATTGAGCCACTTTGATGGAATATCCCACTGAATGATTCCTGTTTTTACCTTAAAGAGACAGAAGAGGTCCTCAAGCTCGTCGATACTGAACGCTGACTCCGTCATCATCGCCCTCACCTGGACACACACACAGGCATATAAACATTCCATCTGCATTAGCATTTTAGCATTAGCTTTTAGCATGCTAACGTACCACACTCCTCTTGGCCGTGTCCTCTAGTGATTGGATGACCTTTAACCTCTGTTTAAACCTCATCTGCTCGATGACGTCAGAGCGCAAGCTACCAAACTTCTGTTCAGAGAAGAAGAAACTGTCTCAGGGGACAGACACTGACACATGGAGTGACATATGGTTTGACAGATTGACAGAGGAACAGACAGAGGAATGGATGAATAAATGGACAGATAGAAAAATAAACTGATAGAGGTACAGATAGATAAATGACCTCATAAGACGACTTGATGAGGTCGAAGATGTCGATTTTAGGTGGGGGGACGTCTCCGCTCGTCAGCAGGGCATGCAGGTGAGGGATGGGCGGAGCCACTGTCTGTTTATTCACAACATTATCCAGGTATCTGCATTCAAACACATTTTATTTAATTAAAATGTCTACCTGTCCACCCTGTCTCTACCTGTCTCTCTACCTGTCCACCCTGTCCTTACCTGTCCACTTTGTCTCTACCTGTCCACTCTGTCTCTACCTGTCCACTTTGTCTCTACCTGTCCACCCTGTCTCTACCTGTCCACTCTGTCTCTACCTGTCCACTCTGTCTCTACCTGTCCACTTTGTCTCTACCTGTCCACCCTGTCTCTACCTGTCCACCCTCTCCTTACCTGTCCACTTTGTCTCTACCTTTCTCTCTACCTGTCCACCCTGTCTCTAC